CATAACTTTTGAATATAGATAGAAATTGCGGAAAAAAAACTAAAGGGAGCCATATCCAACTACATAATGTTCAGTATTTTTAAACGCAGAATATCGCGCAAATCTATTTTTTCAGGCGAAATGAGAACCCTGGGTAATTTCACATTTACCGACCATTATAAAGAAGGTACCATAAGCATCGCAAGTGCTTTCGAATAAAATCCTCTCAGACAGGCTCTCCCGAATTCATGTGTGTACTGGTCCAAAATAATGGTCACTTTATTAAATGGACTGCGATACTAGCCAGGAGGCGTCCATATAGCATACTCACAACATGCACACTTTAGTTCAAATACTATGCTCAAAATCTGGGGTTTACTTGGATGATCGATACGAAAAACGACCGTGTGATTTTCACGAACAAACTTTGCAAAGTTATTTGGAATCCGCGAAATGGTGCATTATCATTGAGATGACCTTTGAGTTGCAATGCTTCTAAAATATGAAAGCTGAGATAAAGCTTTTTCTATTAATTATGACACGATGTTCTTTTCCGTTCTTCCGTTGCCATTAAATTACCCGTGTCTTGGGCATGGGGAGAGCCTTTTTTGGGTATGTTTCCTAAGTACGGCTCACTTAGACTCTTTCTGTGAATTGATCATTTTAGCTTGACGGCAAATGAGGTACTTATTATGAAAAATTTATTGTTTAAAAACACGAATTTTCCAGAAACCTCCAACCACAGATCACAATGCTACGATATTTTCCTTTGTGATCTCGCTTAAAAATCGTAGCCACTTATGCCGAAAAGTGCGATCGCAGGGAAAAATTTCTAACCAATCCAGGAATTTAAACCGCGTTCGAAAATAAACATTTCGGACCACAAGAGCAGCAATGTCAGTCATAGAACATATAGCAGCGCCTATTATAATTCTATGCATAGTAGTGTAGGCACGCGGCAAGTCTGCAACAGTGCCGGCGAACAGGATGAACAACCCAGTTACTCTGACGATGGAACCGAGAGAGTGTTCGAAACCTCAGTCTCACAATACAACGGTCCATGTCCTCGTACCTTCTTCTTCTTTAGGGGACGGAGAAAACCATAGTATTATATATTTCTATAGTTAGCCAGCTTGTTAGCCGTCATCATTCAGTCATACCCAACCTCAGGGCCCGGAATCCCCGAGATTCGAACGCAGGACCTTTGGTCATAGAGTTTAGCAGCCTACCATTCCATCACGGGCTGGCTGCTCTCTCAGGTGTGCGAATGGGATGGAACTGGATTGTACATACAAGCTTTCTGATTAGGGCATATACTTGTCTCGGAAGTGCCCTGAGGAAATGATTTCGGAAATAACGCAATGCATGGCTTGCACTGGAGTGACTAGACAATGATGTTTTATGGTCAGAACTGAAATTTCTATGAAAATTCCCAGGAAAGACAAGTTACTTCAGTGGAGTAACCATGCACTCCAAGTAGTGTATTTTGCATGTGGCAAATATACCATACCGCACTGCCGACATGACAGTGTAACCATCGGTTCCAACTATGTCCAGCAGGACCTTCTGCCAACCAAAGGCAAACGCGGTGACTCTTGCAGGATTATAGTGCAAATTAACTCGAATGATCTACCTTACTCTCTTACCACTCCCATATCTTAACTGGATTTAAAAGCAAAAATCGACAAGACCGGAGATGGGGAAGGGCGCAGGTTGTTAGCGCAGCCCACATTGCAATACGCGTACCAGCAGCAAACCCTGTCATGTAGGCTCCCGCGTGCGCTGGAGTACCATAGAGACCACTTTAAGTAGGAGCCATTACAGCCTGACTCTCGGTCCGCCAGTCGGCCACTCTACAGCATAAGACATACACTGAGCTGACTGTGCGGTCCGAGTTATTTCTTCACTTCGCAACCCTCCAAGCCGCGGTTCTCAGCGCACCGTGGTAACTTCAAGTGCGTCAGAGTGATTATAGTGAGGTAAGAATTGCGCTGAGGATCACGGTCCGCGGCAAGCCACCTGCTAGCTGATCGGTCGCCTGAAGTGGGATGGGCGCAGTGGTTGACAGGGTCGGTGAACCCGTCTGCAGAAGCCACAGCAAGTTCTGGTCCCATTGACACGCCCAAAAGGATTCACGTAACCAGGGATTCAGAACGAGCTTGTGCTCCATGACTCCGAGTCCAATCATCTGCCACTTCACAGGCAA